CTTAAATAATTAAGCTAACAGATTTAAAACAGAAGTGTGGCGCGGCGCTCCATAAACAAGTTCACGGAAAGGAAAGGATGACAACGCGCATTCTGTTTGTTTGCTTTATTTAGCAAAAGCACAAATCTTGTTTTCATTGTGAGTGTGCAAAAATAAAAGTAAACACTTTTGCGGATTATATCTTACTCCAAAAATTGAGTTTTTTATGTTTCAGCTGTTTGATCGCGGGGGTGCTTTTGCACATCCTGTCGTGCCAGTGACTGCGTGCTGCTGCAATAGACGCATTTTGCTGCATTAAAGTTAACGATTAATCGATTAATTGATCGTTAATTTAAACGACGATCGATGATGGAAATGATCGAAAATTGACATCCCTAGTTGTGACGGTGAGGAAATTTTCCGTATCTGTCTTTCTCACCTCACTCTTGTCAGTCAGCTCGACTCACTCTCCTCACGTGATAAATAAAATCTGACTCCTGCTCCATGGTGCACTGTTGTTCGCGCATGGTTCGGCACGCTGCATTGAGCGTTTAGTTTTTAAAAGTGTCTGTCCTCTAACTGAACTAGGCTAAATGATTTTTGTTTCTATAAAAAAATCTAAATGACGGTGGGGGGCGGTGCCGCTGTAGGAAAATGACGTAACCGGTGTTGCGGCTTAACACCGGTATAACCGAAAACACCGCCTATCGCAGCAAGCCTACAACTAGGCACAACAATCTGCTCGGATCTAAACAGCACTTAACGTAAATGTCATGTTTAGAGCAGTGACCTTTTTGACTCCAAGGCCCCCCATTGTCCACAGTGATATTCATAGCCACTATGACTTTTCTAGTTGTTCATGATTTACTGGATAATGATAATTAAAAATAAATAAATAAACCATCACACGATCACAATTTCTGCCCCATAAAATATTTAAGAACTTGGTATAACTAAAAATGTCTCCATGATGGCTATACATTTGGTACATACAGTGCAAAACATTACTGATTTGTTGATCATTTCATCTAACTAATTAATTAATAACTAATAATTCCAAGACAAACACCATTTAGAACCTCATCTCTGTTAGCCAGCTGGTTTTGGCACCTTGGTTACGCAAGTAAATCAGACGAATATGCAGCAACAATGTTCAGAACATTAGAGAAAATCATATGTATATATTTGCAAGTCATAAAAACACATGTACAAGGAGGTCCTGTTGCTTTGTAATTACATTTTATGTTTCCTGTTGCTGCCGGTTTGCACAGTTGTGAAAAGGGTTTTCAAAAGCTGATTTGCAGTTCATAGATCTCCAACATCTTTCTTGAGTTCTTGAAAGTTCTTGATATTTATGCACGGTGTCTTTATTCACAGTCTCGACCTTTGGTGAATGCCTCGACGGCTGTTCTGCCCACCATGGTGGCTCCCATCCCAGCTGCTAGAACCCAGTCCCCAGTCATTAACACCCCTGTCACACATGCTGCAGAGATGATTCATGGGTAAATGATTGTATCCATCTCTTTGCTCTTTTAACTCATAATGTCATAATATTGTTTGGTGTTATTTCAATGATCTTGAATTTGTGGTTTTAGGCGACCAGTAACCATTCACCCTCCACCAACCACCATCAACATCCAGCGTACCTCCCCTCCCCGGGACACTGCCACGCGCATCACCCTCCCACATTTTTCTTCCCTTTGTCCATGCGCACATTGTAAGCGCTTCGTGCTCATAGACTGTATAAAAACAGTTCGTGCTGCACTGTATTTGTTTTGTCCTATCGTATCTATCATATGTTGTTGCCTTATTAAAAAATATTCTATACGTTCAAAATAAATGTATTTTAATTTTATAGTATATGCTTAAACATATATATGAATGTTTTTAATGAATGGATTTTATAATACAAATAGCAATGTGTAACATTTTACCATATTTAGTGCAACACTTTTATTTGTTCCCCACAAAATATAGTTTTTTCACTAAATGTTTGGATTTCTAAAATTATTGTGCACTGATTTTTCTAGAATAACTTTTGCTGCCGAATTATCCACTAACCTAGTTTATGATAAATTTGTCATAGATTATAAATATACATAGGCCTATATTTTTTCAGATTTATTGTTTATTTTATTTTTCTTTATAATCAGGGTTGTACAGTGCGACATATATGTCGCACGTGCTACGAAAAAACTGGTCTGTGCGATGAAT